GGTCCGGGGCGCCGACGTCTCCCACCCTCGGCGTGGAGGGCGGCCAGGAAGCGCGGCGAGGGAAGCCGGCGCCGTAGCACTGGGGAGGCTGAGGCAGGAGAATCGCAAGGTGAGCCCAGCCTGCTGAGATTAGTGACTGGGGGAGAGCTGTGCAGAAATACAAAAGTAGAAAAAGGGAAAGGGAGTCGAGGATGTGAGGCAGAGCTAAGGCCCTAGGCTGAGGCTCACAATACAAGAAAGAGATGACGGGGTAGGGAGGAGGGAAGGAGTGACACAGGGAGAGCTACAGTAAAATTCAGCTCTGAGCTCTTCTCCGTAGGGTTTGGTTTTGTTGTTATTTTGGTACCGGGATGGAACTCTGGCCCTTGCACTGGTGAGGCAGGCGGTGGAACCACTGACTCCAGTCTGATAGGTATACCCTCAATTGGAATACATGCTGATAAGGCAGTTAGGAAATTAGCTTGCAAGGTAGTTAAAGGGTTAAATACCACCTCTGCCACATTGGCGCTAATTAATCAAGAACTCCAAGAACAATGTTGTTTTTATACAAATAAGTCTGGTATTATTAGAGATAAGATCAGAACCTTACAGGAAGATTTAGAAAAACGCAGAAAGGAATTACGCGAAAACCCCCTCTGGACTGGGCTCAATGGATTTTTGCCTTATCTCCTCCCTTTATTGGGGCCCCTATTAGGGCTCCTGATATTATTAACCATCGGGCCTCTAATATTTAATAGACTTACCTCCTTTATTAAACAACAGATAGATACCATGCAAGCCAAGGCCATCCAAATCCATTACCATCGTCTTGATCTGGCCGATCAGGAGGAAAATTATTTACAGGTCCAAACGTCTATGGAGACCAGAGAATAAGCCTGACATCTGAGAGGCCCAAAAAGAGAATATTACCAAGTCCTTACAGTCACAGTTACTGGAGGGCCTTGGAATATCCTTGAAGTCCTCTGGAGACTTCTCCTCTCTTGCTACAGTTGACCCCAATGACGGGTAAGACAGTCAACGCCTGACTGATCAACCTAAGACAGGGGCTTCTGTCGAGATGTCAAGGCCATCTCTTCCTCTACCAACTACCCGGCCTCTACTTCTACTCTATGGTTAAAGCCTACTGACAAGATCAGGATACCTGGGATGGTCTTTCTAAACTAATTGGCCTCCGCTCCTGGCTTGCGTGATATATATCTCTTCATTTTTTTTTTTTACTGTAAAAAGGGAGGAGATGTAGGAGACCAAATATTCGTATTCTCAGAGTTGTTTTTGAGCCTAACATAACCGCCTCCATGTTTACATCTGAGTCACCTCACTGGCACAGACGTGCCAATGACTGTACTAATGGCCTTGCTCATTTAATGACCTAATCTGTTACATAACAACTGTATCTCATCATAACTGTTACTGACACTTCCTCTTACAATTTTGTGGTTTTTGCCTTTATATACCGCTTGTGCCTGCAAATAAACGAGACCTTGACAAGCCTCTGCTTGGTCTCCTTCTCTCTGCGCCTCTCTTGGCCCATTTCCAGGTATCCCCCCTTCTCGAGCTCTGCTGATTACAAGCCCTGCGGGCCGGGGCAGGCCGCTCCTGAAATTTTACTGTCACAGATGCACTGTATTTTTCATCTGTTCCTACACCGAGGCTCTTGGAAGCATCAAACCTGTGACCTGAGGTTTTCAACCGTCCCCAGCCGGGACTCATTACCCCCCACACAGCCCGGTTAAAAATGCCTAAATGGTTAAGTCATGGGTGTCCAAAGTGACAAAGAGGAAAACTGGAAAAGACAGTTTCTAATCTCTGGAACGAGAGAAGTCATCATCTCCATACTGTAGCCACTGAGAGGATTAAAGAGGGGATATCAGGGGCTGGGAATTTAGCTCAGTGGTTCTGCTGCCTGCCTTGAAGGCTGAGTTCGATCCCCGGTACAAAAAATATTTTTTTAATTAAAAAAAAAAATCACTAAAAAAAATTTGCACAGTTCAACAAATTAGAATAACTGCACCAATTCCTAAAATATTTCCAAGTTTAATTAAATCCTAGGGGAAGATGTAAAAAGAACTAAGATGTGTTATGTACATGGACAGATTTCCTGTAATGAATGAAACCATTATGATCCTAAAAACATGTACTATAATCTACATAAACCCTACAGCTAACATGATACTTAATAAAAGACTAGACGTTTTCCCTTATGACCAAGAACAAGCGGTGTAAGTCCATAAGCCCAGCTACCCTGGAGGCTGAGGCAGGAGAATCACTTCAGCTCAAGAGTTGAAGTCCAGCCTGGGAATCATAGCCAGATCATGTCGGAGGGAAAAATATAAGAAAAAAAAGCCCAGACCTAAGTCTTACATGTTATAAAAGATTAATTCAAAATTAATCATGCATTTAAATATAAACTACAAAAGGTTTTAGAAAAAACAGGCAAAAAAAAAGAAAAAAATATAGGCAAAAATCCTCAGGACTAGACCTAGATTTCTTAGACATGACACCAGCTGGCACTAAAAAAAAACTGCCAGAAAATGAATCTTACAAAGGACTGGGGTCCAGAATATAGAAATAAGCCCACCATTCAAGAGTAACGAATAGTGAAACCCACCGAAGCTCCACTCGAGAGCGGGTAAACAGAACGAGCAGGTCTTTCCCTTTAGAAGGGTACAGATGGAAAGAAAGCGCATGAAAGGGTATGCACCACCCTCAGCCACTAGGAAAATGCAAGACCTTACCAGAGCTGGGATATTCTTTCCGCTTGACTGGGAATTGCACCCAGCATCTTTCCACTGAGATATATCCCCAGTTTTGCTTTAGTCTTTGAGACAGGCATGCTGACACTAAGTGACTCACTTTTCCAGGTTGAGCTGAAGTGGTGACCCTCCTGCCTCAGCCTTCCAGAGTGCCAGGATTACAGGGGTGCATACGACTTGAGCTTGTCTTCCAGGGTTTCTGATGTGGGAGCTTGCTTGTGGCCGTGTGGGGAGGAGGGACCATGGGCTGTTGGGGACCTGCCTCAAGGCGGCTGAGGTAGACCTGCAGGACCTCTTCGGCAGTTCGCCCAAGAGAGCTGAAGCTGAGTGTGATGGTGTAAGACTGCAATCCCAGCAGCAGGGAGGCTGAGTCAGGAGGGTCATTTGAGCCCAGCCTGGGCACCTAGTGCAGTGAGACCCTCTCGAATGAATGAACGAAGTTGTAAGGAAGGGCACGCCGGCTCTTCCTCCTCACGTGGGCCTCTTGCCTGTCCATGACCTCTTCCTTCTCACACAGCCCGCCCCGGCCGTCTGTGAGGCGAGAACCTTCTGGTAAGGCGGCCTGCGTAGGTGTTTCACTGGTCCCCAGATACTGCAGAACGGCTTGGGCCGGCCCCACCTGCTGGCGAGGAGTCAAGAAGCCGCCTCGTGCTGGGGGCGGGGGACGCGGGGAAGTGGACTGGGTCGCGCGGCTCCTGCTGAGGCTAAAAATGTGCTTATGAAACAGCCGGAACCGTGCTCTTGGACGTTTCCCAAACCTGCGAGCGCTTGTGTTCACACAAACACTCACTTTTATCTGCAATGTTAAGCGCTGAAATAATGGCTGTCACAGAAGGAAACAAATTACTAATCTGCACGTGTGCAGAGCAAAGGAATTAACGTGGCAGAGGAAACATACACCGTTACAAAAGTGAAAAAGCAAAACAACTGGGTGAAAACATTTCCAAAACATACATTCAACAGAAGATTTGGCTCAAGAATATAGAAGTAATTCTTACAACATAATAAGGCAAACAGCTCACTTTTACTGGAAAATGACAAAATATTTGAACAGACACCTCACAGATGGTAAAAGAGCCCATGAATAATATTCGGACCACTCGTATTAGAGAAATGTAGATTAAAATCCCAGTATGACACATGCCCACCAGAACAGCTACAATTCTGAAAGCCTGGCATACCAGGTATTGACTGAAGTTCTAGATCTTGCTGGTGAAATGAAGAGTGGTAAAAATTATTTTGGAAACCAGTTTGGCAGTCTCTTAAAAATCAAAACACAGCTGGGCGTGGTGGAGCATTCATGTAATCCCAGCACGCGGGAGGCTGAGGCAGGAGAATCACCTCGAGTTTTGAGGCCAGCCTGAACTGCATCGTGAGACCACCTAAACAAACAAAAAACCAAAACATAAGCCTTCCTTGTGTTGACTGAGAATAAACTCAGTGTAATCAGGAACTAAGAAGTTGGGCATAGTGGTGCACAACTATAATTTTAGTAGTTAAGAGGCTGAGGCAGGAAGATTATAGCAAGTTCCGGGTCATCCTGGGCTACATAGTGAGATCCTGTCTCAAAAAAAGGTGGGGGTAAAGGAGAGAAGAAGAAAATCACATGAATCTGGGGGCTAGAGTTGGAATCTGGGAAAACACCCAGTTGGAATTGTGCTCCCAGTTTTTACCAAATGGTGGCTGCATTTACGGTTTTAAACAGGAAGGAGATGGAAACAACTTCACCTGTTCGGAATTAGGATTGGAGCCAGCAGAAGTGAAGCCTCAAGTAAGAAAGGGATCAGGTGTGGTCTCAGGATCTGGGACTTCTGGAGAGGGCCCTGCACAGATCACATCCATCAATTTTCAAGAGTCTGCGCTGTGCCCAGTCCACCCTCCCGGGGTGCATCCCAGCTGAGGGTGCAGCTGTAGCAGGACTGACAGCTGATTAACAACAGCCTCCCATTCCATTTTAAGGCGCAAGGACCCAAGATCAAACCCCAGTACCAAAAAAAAAAAAAAAAAAAAAAAAAAAACCATTCCATTTTAAGGTTCCCAAACCAGGTGTGTGTGAGCTTTATTTGTATTCTTTTAAGTCAGAGTCTTGGTATGCAGTTCAGGCTGGCCTTGAACTCACTACGTGGTCCAGGCTGGCCTCGGACTCACAGCAGTCCTTCTGTTTCGGCCTTCTGAGTGCTGGGATCACAGGTATATGCCACCACGTCCAGCTTTGGATGCAATGTCTATAAAATGAAAGAGTGCAACAATCAAAATGGTGAAGAATAATGTAGGAAAACTATTCCCAGCCTCAAATTCCATTTTAAGCCAAATGGCAACTGTGGGAAGCCAGCCATGGCTCACTGGCTTTTTGAAAGACAACATTTGTTCCTTTTTAAGGACTGCACGTGTTAAACTTGTTTTTGACCCTGCACGGGAGAAACTCGGACAGCCAAAGATCTGTAGGAGTCAGGTGCTTCCTGTTAAAGATCTGACGTTATCTGTAGGAGTCAGGTGTTGTAACTCCATTTTGTTAAGTTCCTCCACCTATTTGGGAATCATGATTATTAGTTGCAAGTGTTGTTAATTTGTTTTTCTTGAGCCTGCTTTCTCTTGCCCGTGTGAACCCTCGTTCCCGTGGAGCGGGTGTTGAGGTTAGTATGGTAATCCTAGCCCATAACAGTTCGGTCTTTCCCTTTAAAAGGCTGATGCCTGCCTGCAATAAACGTCGCCTTGATCAGACTCTTGTCTTGGCGTCCTTCCTTTCTCTCTGCCCCATCTCCACCCCGCTGCTCTTTCAGGTTTGGGACTGCTGGACAGTGCTCTGCGTCGCCGGTTCGCGACAAGTGGAGCCCAAACAGGGACCTGAAATTGAAGCGGCGAGCGGTGAGTAATCAGAAGCCTGCTATCAAAAAGGGCTCGGCCGAGTCGAAACAAGGAGGACACCGCTGTCTGGAACGCCCGGCGGGGAAAATCCTCGGAGAAGCAGGTACCAGTGGGGCACATAGGATCTAAAATCAAATTTAGCACAGCAATTCAGTCTTTATTCAGGGAGAAAGGAATTAAGGCAAATAAAAAGTCATTGTTTCAATTTCTTGATTATATGGATGAAATTTGTCCTTGGTTCAGTGATGTAGAGGAAATAACTGAAGATGTTTGGGCTAGAGTAGGAGAAGAATTAAATGAAAGATTAAGGAGTCATAATTCTGACAGTGTACCAGCCATTACATTTTCTTTCTGGTCTTTAATAAATGAGTGCTTACAGAAAAGGGACGTACAAGGCTTAGATAAACACCTCAGAGAGGCCAAAGAAACCTTAGAGGAGTTAAGAGAAGTTGAATCACAAAGTTCAGAACCTAAGGAGAGAGAGTCAAAATTGTATCCTGATCTAACTGAAAGCTCCTCAGAGTCTGAGGGAGACAATGAAGATAATGATACTGTAGGAGCTATATTAACTGCTCGTCCCCCTCCCACTGCTCCTATTGAACCTGATATAAGAGAAATAAAAGACCCCAACTCAGATATGATCTCAGAGGTAGAACAATTAAGGAAAAGTTCAGTTAGCAGAGGAAAAACGATCGCTCCTTAGAAAATTAGAAGCAATAAAGATAGATAAAAAGGTTATATCAAATGGGGAAGAAAGATTCCATAAGTTCACTCCCCTCCAGAAAGCTCAGATGTCAAAGTTACTAGCCTTAGTTTCAATATTGTTGGCATAGGGGCCTCTAATATAATGTCTTGTGTTAATGCTCATAGATTGTTTGTGAAACTGATAATATTGTCAATTGACCAATTGTATATTCTCAGAAATGGTGACTTCCTTTCATTCTGTGATGGGTTTGAGACAACCTCTCTTTGTAATGATGCCTGTAAAAATTAATGAGTCCTGGTATGAGGAACAAGGATTACAAATATTGATAGAGGTAGAAAAAGCTACATGGCAAGCCTTCACAACCCATGGTATACCCCCTGCAGAGGCTGGTAGTCAAAGACGGGTTAGAGAATTGTGGAGAAATATCCAACCTAAGACAGAGCCTGAGTATTAAACTGCTCATGGCTTGATGACGGGTAAGGGATTTCTCTGGACATTTCTCACCTAAGACAGGCACAGCCTTTCTGCTGAACAGGGAAAGTCCCTGCTCTAAATATAATAAAAAGGGGGATATGTGGGAAGCCAGCCATGGCCCACTGGCTTTTTGAAAGACATTTGTTCCTTTTTAAGGACTGCACATGTTAAACTTGTTTTGACCCTGCACGGGAGAAACTCGGACAGCCAAAGATCTGTAGGAGTCAGGTGCTTCCTGTTAAAGATCTGACGTTATCTGTAGGAGTCAGGTGTTGTAACTCCATTTTGTTAAGTTCCTCCACCTATTTGGGAATCATGATTATTAGTTGCAAGTGTTGTTAATTTGTTTTTCTTGAGCCTGCTTTCTCTTGCCCGTGTGAACCCTCGTTCCCGTGGAGCGGGTGTTGAGGTTACTATGGTAATCCTAGCCCATAATAGTTCGGTCTTTTCCTTAAAAAGGCTGATGCCTGCCTGCAATAAACGTCGCCTTGATCAGACTCTTGTCTTGGCGTCCTTCCTTTCTCTCTGCCCCATCTCCACCCCGCTGCTCTTTCAGGTTTGGGACTGCTGGACAGTGCTCTGCGTCGCCGGCTCGCGACAGGCACCATCTTTGGGAATGTTAAGACTCGACATTCTTCCTGTTTTTTCTTCTTTCTCTTTTTGCAGCACTGAGAGTTGAATCCAGGGCTTTACACGGAACTCAATCCCCATCCCATCCCATTTCACTTCATTTTGAGACAGGATCTTTGTTTTTCTTTTTGAAACAGGGTCTCCCTATGTGGCTCAGGCTGGCCTTGAACTCGGCACTTCTTCTGCCTCAGCCCCGAGTCCTGGGACTACAGGCGTGCGCTACTGTGCCTGGCTCTGTTGAGAGGGTTTTACTAAGTTACTGTGTATTGTCCAGGCAGGACTCAAATGTGATGCTCCTACTTTGGCTTTCCCAAGTGCTGAGATTACAGACATCCACCGCCATACCTGTTTCTATGGTTTGTCTGTCAATTATTTTAAAATAAAAAACAAGATGGGTGTGGTGGCGCACACCTATAATCCCAGCACTCGGGAGGCTGAGGCAGGAGGATCGCTGTGAGTTCGAGACCAGCCTGGGCTACATGGTGAGTTCCAGGTCAGTCTGAACTACATAGGGAGACCCTGTCTCAAAACACCAAAAAAAGGGGGGTTATTAAAAGTCTAATAAATGTATTCATACATTTAAGTCTAAGCAAACTGCCTGTATTTTACAAGTTTTTGTTTATCAGTTTCGACTTCATGGCTGTCTGGATTTTTCTTTCCTTGGCTAAATGTCACATACTATTGCTTTTCATGCCTACTGATTTATGATCATATACTGCACATTGTGAATAATGGACTTTGTTTTTTGGTACCGGGGATAGAACTTGGTACTTGCATTTGCCAGGCAGGCGGCAGCACCACGGAGTGAAATCCTGGGCCCAATAATGGACTTTAGATTCTGCTTCAGTGTTGATTTTAATCTTTTTAGGGTAGATTTTGTGCTTTTTGGCTCTCCCAGGGTTTAGACTTGGGTTCTGATGTGTAGTCCTGTTACCGTGTGTGACCGGGCCCGGTGAGGTTTCTAGGTTCTTGTGTGAAGAATTGGACACAGCACACGGCAGGGAGGAAACAGCACCGAAGTTTAATCAGGAGACAGCACCTTCAGTGAGAGGCTCCGGCCTGCAGAACGGACAATGGCAGCAGGGCTGGCTGTAAGTCTGAAATGTTGCGCCCGGTTCTGGGGAGCCTCTCAGCGGGTGGGTTGACAGGTGCTGAGTCACGTCAGCCACTCAAAAACAAAACACCACCACACCAAATTCAAATGACTGACCAGACGGGTGTAAAGAGAGGAAAAAGTTTATTATTGAACAGACCTTATTTTCATTACAGTATCAAATTCTTTCTCAGTTCCCTTTGGATGCAGAGGCCCTGCAGATATTTGAACCCCAGTGCTGTTCCCGAGCATGGGGCAGCACCGGAACACGTTGCACTTAATGGGACAGAATTACAGTAAAGTCGATACTTAACCAAGATTGTTGAAGCTTAGGGTTTTTAAAGAAATGATGCAGTTTTATCTTTTTTCCCTCGTTTGCCTCATTTCTGCGTGAACTGGTTGGCGGATACGGTACGGTACTGCATAGCCTCTTGTTCCAAGTCGCCAACATTACATTTGGTTAGTGGGCTTTGCTTTTCGTTGCTCTCAGAGCTCCTCTGCGACTCAACAGGGACAAGTAAGACAATGCCAGAGCACAGGTGGGAGGAAGGCCTTGTTTCTCTACCTCCCGCTGTCACATCTAGGGGGCGTGCAGCTGCTTGAAGTTGATTTTGTGATTTGTTTTTGTAAACTGTCAGCACTTAGTGCCACGGAGCACAGAAGCATTGTTTCTGTGTTAATGGAGAAGTGTGCACCGACCTGGTCCTCTGAAACCTCAGCAGTGACATGAGCTGGTCATAAATGCAATCAGATAATGAACAGCCCTAATTTAGACCCTTTCTTCACTACACTAAGGCAGGGAAAACAAGAATTTAAATAAAATGCTGTTACCCTACCAGACTAAGCCTCTGACAAGCTACATTTGACTCTGATTACTGCCAGAGAATGCCCCTGTAAAATCAAGTACTTAAAACGTTAATTATTAAAATTAAACAATGGTATACATAAATAACTTTGCACATAATACATCTTCCATTTTTTTATTCACCCTTCACTTTTGGTACCAAGACAAAGTTTCCATCAAGTGGCTTTACTGCTCAATTTCCATTTCTTTTTTTTGGTACTGGAGATCAAACTCGGGTCCTTGTGCTTTCAAGTCAGGCGGCAGAACCACTGAACTAAATCCCTGGCCTCAACTTCCATTTCAAGGAAATGCTATCCAGGAAAAATGGACCAGAATTCCCTTGTAACTCTTGAATTATTTCTTTTATTCATTCACGCAAAATTCGGAACAGCAAGTTTAGAAAAAGACTGCTCTCACGGGAAAGCGGAGGAGAGGGGCCATTCTGCGCAAGAGTACACTTCCCAGCTACACGGAGTTTGCAGATCTCCTTCCTCCCTCGCACCTGGGCGAGTCTTCTAAAAACTGCACTCCTCGCTCCAGCTTTCTGCCCTTCATAAAAATTGTTTAGGCGGAGCCTTAAAAAGGTTCAGAACATGAAGATGTACAAATAGCAGAGAAAATTAAGCTCCTTTTACAGAAATTGGCTTAATATACACAATAGGTCCTCCATGCTTTCCTAAGAGTGGAGCTCACACAACGCATGGGCCACTGTGAGGCCTGTGCGCTTAGATATGCAACATCTGAGTGCCCAATCTGACATGCACCTTCTGACAGACTCTTTCCCCCCCACCGGCTTACTGAAAACCCACACACCACTGCTCAACGTGCTGAGTGCTCAGGACACGTTCTCCAAGCCCAGGTGCACCCCGTGACAGGGTCTGATCTCGGACACACTGCTCACGGGACATGAAAACAGGCTCACACCACTGCACAGCATCCTGACACATCACATTATCTGGTATCACTGCTAATTCAGAAAGGGCAATTTCTAGTAGGGCACGACAACCCATTATACATAAATGCTAAGAACAATGCACTGTGAGTTTCCAGAAGTTAGAACTTTCAGAGCTATCAGTTCCTGCTTTTGGGGAAAAAAATCTATTGCCTCTTTCCAGGCACAGTATGCGTTCTCTGAGCAGACAGGACTATGTTACAGTGGTAACACCATTCCCTGGGTACTGGGGATTACGCTACACCGAGACTGGCAGGAGAGGGCTGGACCTCCTCAGAAGCAAGCTTGCATCCTTCAGTCAACAACTAATAAGGCTTCAGACCTCGGTCTCCCGAGGTCCACACCCCCTACAGAGAATGTATGTATTTTAAAAGCTCTGCACCCTCCTTTTATGTAGAAAATTCAAGACAGTAGGAAGACTGGGAGAAAGCTGCCTAGTGGAATCAGCATTTAAAAGCATACACACTGGCTTAAGTATTTCCTGCTCCACCTCCCAGACAGTGCCTGGGGAAAAGGTACATTTCTGCCAGCAATTCTGGACAGCAGCTGCAGCACCCTCTCTGAAAGCTTAAAGGTAAAGATGAAGCCTGAACAAAAGTTTCTTGATGTCACAATCTTATCCCTTTAGCTGCCTGGCCCAGATTAGGGCTGGGCTGGGAGAAACCATGCCTGTCTGTCTTCCTTCCTCAACTTCTTATGAAAGCATGAAAGCAAAGTCAGGTCCCTCAGAGCTGGACGTGGTGGCACATACTTGGAATCCCAGCACTGTGGAGGCTTTTGAGCTCTAGGTCAGCTTGGGCTACGTAGGAAGATGCTGCCTCAAAGACCAAGAACCAAAACCAAACCAACACAAAACAAAAACTTCAGATTGTGAGGCTCCTAAGCTAGCTGCCCTATTGCATCTGAAAATGGAAAAGATAAATTATTGATATATGGAGTAAGACTGTGGTTTTTGAAAAAGTGCACATCAATGGCTTAGAAGGGGTAAAAACTTAGCTATCCACTTGCAGCTGTATGTATTTTTCTATTTTATGTGGGAGGGGATAAAATGTAAGGCCTCACTATACTAGCAAGCACTTTCACCAAGCTCTCCGCACCCTTCGTATTTTTTAAAAGTGAGCAAAATAGGAACACGTCCACGTGAATTGGAGGCAGATGCAGGGCTCATGCTGCTGAATTACCGACACGGAGGATCCTAGCCCATCCCTCAGCCACGCCACCTCCTGGGGCAATGCTGGGCTGTGAAGGAGAGAGGAGTAGCTAAGGGGCTGACCACAGCGCTCGATGGGGCAGCAACAGTGCGAAAGAACTGCTGTGAACGCTCCTTTCTGCCAGCCAAGAAATCGCAAAGCTAAAACAAAAGGAGCACAGGACGCTGAATACAAAAGCCCGAGTCCACAGTCAGAATCCTTCCTGGCCTTAGACTGGTAGCACTGGTGAGAAAAATCCAAGCCAGCTGTCTCAGCCTGAGAAAATGCTAAGTGGGAAGGGGAAAATGATGAGGTGACCATGTGGAGGGAGCCCAAGTCCCCTGAGACAGGTCACTAGGTCACTCGGGATGGCCATGTCCAGTCATGAAACGGCTGATTTTAAAGCAAGTGGAAAGTAAAAGCAAAGCCTTTCACAAATACAAAAACTGTTTACAAAACAATTACCTAGGAAGGTTCACTGGGACTGAGATGGGGGGTAAGGTTTCATTTCATATTAGCCACATGGTGATGATTTATAAAAGACAACCAGCAAATTCCAATCTCCTCCCCCAACACCCCAGAGCCCTCCTATGCCTATTTTCTCTACCCTTTTACCCCAACCAACCATCCTCACCTGGCCCAAAATTAATTTGCTTAGCCACTGTACTGAGCCAACTCTGAAGATACACAACTGTTGGTTTGGTTTTGACTGAAGAACGGACCTAGCACTTGGGAAGAGATGGGTATGTGTGTAGGGAAGGCTGGCATCAATTTCTAGGTGTGTGGGCCTCAGACAAGGTTTCTGCTGGCATAAGCCACACTGGGTGGGCCTCTGAGGGGCAGCCCGAGCTGCAGGGAAACTGAGGTAAGGAAGGACACGGCGGCTCTACTGGCCGCCTTCCCAGGTCAGTGCAGCATGTGTGTGCTCTTGGATGTGGGCTCCAAAAGATTCATTTTCCTGCTGCCGCCGCCACCATCTCCTCCTCTGGTGAGAAGATTGCTCTTTACAGAGTCCCAGAAGATCAGCCACTTGTCTTCCTCTGAGGTACAAAGCCAACAGAGCCCTGACCCCGAAGATCCAGTGCCCACCGGTGTGCAGAAGTCAAAATCAAATGCTCGGCATCAAAAGGGCTGGCACACCTGTTCACTGAGTTTATCAGCAGTTGTATAGACAGATCAGAAAAGACTAGCATTTAGTAGAAAACTGTTTTTCAGTGGTGCCACTTCCCATCTTCCTCCAGAGATCATAATTCTTCACGTGTCTGAGATGCTGTAGGAAAGAAAATAATGGAAAATAAATTATCCTCAAGTTATAAAAATACAGATTGGGTATTTTATCCCACCTTCATTTTGACTCCCTTTTAAAGTTTTTATTTATTTTGGGGGGTGGTGTAGACAGGGTCTCCCTATATAGTTCAGACTGGCCTTGAACTCACTGTGTAGCCTAGGCTGGCCTCAAACTCAGCAATCCACCTGCCCTCAGCCTCCCGAGTGCTGGGATTACAGGCGTGCGCCACCACGCCTGGCATTCATTGTTTTTTAAAATATCCTCTATTTTGGTTTTGCTTTTAAATTTTAATACAAAAACCACCAAACCAAAGCTTCTAAAATTTAAAAAGGGAAGGTGGGCATGGTGGCGCATGCTGTAACTCAGGAGGCTGAGGCAGGAGGATCGCTGTGAGTTCGAGACCAGCCTGGGTTACATAGTAAGTTCCAGGTCAGTCTCAACGACATAGTGAGACCCTGTCTCAAAACGCAAACAAACAAACCCCAAGGTGATCGTGTCTCTTCACAGCACCCATCCAACACTTTAGGGAGTGTGTGTCTGTGTGTACACACATATATTCCCCCCTTTTCCTTTTCCTTGGCCCAAGCTCGCTCTTCAGAGCTTAGATTTTTGCCTACTCTTCTATTTTTCCCGTACCTTTAATAAATACAAACTTTGGAAAAACAAAACAAAAACACACACAAAATAACGATGAGATGGAGGGGTGAGGGATATAAAAAGAACGATGGATTAGTACAAAGGCCCACTTCCCATAGTGAATGCAGTCATTATGTACTGCACATGTACTAGTAAAAATCTTTGTCTTTGTCTTTTTTCTTTTTGGTACTAGGAATCAAACTCAGGATCTTGTGCTTGCCAGGCAGTCATGGATGCCACTGAGCTACATCCCTGGCGTGTACTAGAAAAAATAAAAATTTGAAAAGGAAAAGACTATTATAAATTTTTTAAAACATTGAAATTACCTACAAACCTCATTCCAACTAAGCCGTTTTCAAATGCAGTATAACTTTCAGTAAACATGCATGTATTTTCAGTTAATCCTTTTTTTTTTCTTTTTTGGCATGAAGGATTGAACTCAATGCCTTCATACTGAGCTACGTTCTACAACTTATTCTTCCATTTAATCATTCAACTTTAATTTATTTTGAGACAGTCTCGCCAAGTCACTTCACTGCCCAGGCTGGGCTCAAACTCGCCATCCTCCTGCCTCAGGACACCAGAATACTGGCACGATGGGTGTCCGACTCGACACAAGGACAGGTGTCAGAAGCAAGTCTATGGAATTTCTGGGAAAAGATCATTTCACCGTTACATCGTGATTAGGACTCGTTCTCCCCGACAGGTCAGCGACGGCACGTGGGGACATGGCTTCATTTTGGCCTCCGGTCACAGCTAAAACCTCAGTGGTCCTGTGACACTGTGATGCTCCAGGTCAGGATGACACCACCAAAGACAGGAACAAAATCTTCATCCACACAGTTCTCCACTGTTCTAGGACTTCCGCCTGCTGCTGCAGCTGCCGGCTGAGTCACTTTTACCTTTGGTGCTCTCCCGAGTACTGAATTCTCTCTGCTGAGTCATCTGTCACATTTCCCCTGATCGCGGCACAAAGGTGCAGCGAGCTCTGGGCTTTCATCTTTGCTGCCCAGAGCAGCACTGATCAGGCCCAAAGCTCAGCTTCTTCTCTAAGTCTCCTTTTTTCTGTCTAATAAACTAATCTGCCTTGCGCTGTCGTGGCTCGCAGGAGAGGAGGACTTTCTGAAGAGGTTCTAGTAATGTCCCCTTTCCCTGTTCCCCACAGACCGGAATCTGCTTTTATAAACCTAACGTATAAACATTTTTCTATATATCTGTGTGTCAGTGTAGCTCGTTCTTAGATGTTCAAGCTTTTTTTTTGGGTACCAGTCATTGAACTCGGGTCCCTGCACTTGCGAGGCAGGCAGCAGCACTACTGAGCTAAATCCCTGGCCCTTTAAGCTCTTTTTTTGTGCTTTTGGTTTATAAATAATATTAAAACAAAAATTCTTCATATATAATTTTTTTCTTGTGTGTGTTTTTTTGTTTGTGTTTTTGAGACAGGGTCTCACTATGTAGTTGAGACTGACCTGGAACTCACTATGTAGCCCAGGCTGGTCTCAAACTCACAGCCATCCTCCTGCCTCAGCCTCCCGAGTGCTGGGATCACAGGTGTGCACCACCACGCCCAGCTCTTATGTTATTTCTTTAGACAATTCTCAAGAGAACTACCACAGGCATAAGCATTTCAGACTCCCTGTGACAGATATGCTGTTAAGAAGGGCTGACCTAATTCACAAGGTGCCAGCAAATATACCCAACAAGTTTCATCACCATCTCTCCAACAAATGGCATCAATATCTACTTCTGTCTACATAGCAGATACAACTTCAGTTTGATTAGTTTCCTCAAATTTATACATTGTGTTCTCCTCTTACTTGAACAGTGGGCCCAAGTTCTTTGCTATTCATTTATTTATTTATTTTGGTACCGGGGATTGAACTCGGGTCCTTGCACTTGCAAGGCAGGCCACCGAACCGCTGAGCTAAATCCCCAGCATATTTTTTAATTTTTAAAAATGATTTTTACAGTCATTTTTATTAGATATTCCATTCTGTGTTTTGGGTTTTTTTTTTTTTTTTGTACTAGGGATTGAACTCAGGTCCTTGCACTTGAGAGGCAGGCGGCAGAACCACTGAGCTAAATCCCCGGTCCCTCTTTGCTATTTATGAAACTGCGGTTTCACCAAAGAATGTGAATCAATTACTGTAACAGTGATTGTATTACCGTACAGCATGGCAGTCTTGAGGCTGTATACAAATAATATGATCTATGTTCTGCATTTGCATTTTTAGAATTAAAACACAGTAAATCTTAAAATCCTGAGCCCAGCTTACTAATAGTTTTTGTTAAAGTCACTCTGTATTATGATCTTTTTCAAGTGGCTACCATTTATTTACAATGTAGAATATTATAGAACAATTTAAATCCTTTCTATCCTTAGTCTCAATTAAACACAAATTCCATCCATCTCAATATGCCTACTATAAAGATACGTTTTTCAAATCAATATGTACTTTGTCTTGATGTAAGCTTTGTTCATTCATAAGTGTCTAGACAGATTTAATGAGAAAATTACAAGAAATGTGACCAGAACTCCCCCAAATAGTGGTTTAGATATCACAAAACTCATAAATTTAAATAACAATGATTACAATTAAAGCACTCTTTCTTCCTGCCAGACAAAAAAAGAAAGAAAGATAGAAAGAAAGATAGATGAGAAACTATAATAATGAACTATTTAGAAGGCCAAGTGGAAAAACAACATGAGGGCCAGGGTTAGCTCAGTGGCACTGCGCCTGCCTCTCAAGCATAAGGTCCTGAGTTCAATCCCTGGTATCAGAAAAATAACAAAATCCAAAAACCCAAGAAACATGAAAAACGGATTGATGTCAGAGTAAAAGGACTAAAGGGACATTTTTCTTGCCCTGTTATTCATTACTCCCTTGTTTTCCACATCGTACAGCAATCAGAAACAAGTACTCGCCCAAAGCCAAAGATCTGCACTTACCTTCCTGGGTCGGCTCTTTTGTTTTCTTCTCAAACAGTGTTCCCATTTCCTTCTCCTTCTGAAAACGGATCTGGACCTGTTTGATCTCTTGATCGTAGTCCTGCCACTCTGGGACAATTCGCACAGCAGCTTCCAGCTTAGGCTCTTTGGTCATCGGATTATTGCACTGTGAAAACCCAATGAAAACACAATCAGCTGAGCTGAAAAGATTTCATTATGCAGAGTTCAAAGGTGTTTCTTGGGTCACATGCCCAAACTGGTCAGAAAGAACATTACTGAGGAATTAAGTCATATACTAGCAGAAGCAGTATGGTAGCAAGATATATAAAGCTATATTTACTTCTTTTCTTTTCTTTTTTTTTTTTTTTTTTTTTTTTTTTTTTTTTTTTTTTTTTTGGTCAGCTGGTGAGACTATGGTGCTACCAGGCTCTGGAGTCTCCTCCTAGAGGTGATTCCTAGGTTCTTTCTGTCCTGAGCAAAGAACTGGTCAAGACAAGAAGAAATAGTAGCAAAGTTTTATTAAATGTAGGATTTAGTTCAGTGGTGCCACCACCTGCCTTGCAAGTGCAAGGTCCTGAGTTCAATACCCTGGTATCAAAAAAAAAAAAAAAAATTCTAAAAACAATAGGAAAAGAAACAGGCTCTGCACAGGAAGTTTGGGCCAAGTACAAGCAGGAAAAGAAATACACCCTACACTATGAGGATAAGCCATCAGGCAAGAAAGAACACGGTGGCCTGTATTTACTTCTACAAAGACACTGTCGGGGGCTATTCAGAGGCGAGAAAAAAAAGTCAGACTGGAAAAATTACAAGGTACAGAAGTGACCTGGTATATAATCAGAGACTTGGCAGAGAGGGAATAGTGAAAGCGGTCCTATTAGATCCTAGGGGACTTGGTTTCCTGTAACAGGCACAGAAGAACATAAGTTTCCATATGATGCTTCACAGCCCCTCAACTATACCACTACACAGGAAGAATAAATAATGCTCCTGTGGTAGTCAGCGCTCAGGCGCCTATCACCCCGGGAAAAGATGCATGGACACTCACCAGATCAATGGTCTTGGCTCTTTTCTTAGAGGCATCGTCACACCACGTTTCACACCAAAGCCATTCTTGAGGCAATGACTTGATTGGTACCTGATGGATCATGTTATTGGGCAGATCCTGATTGGGAAAGAAAATAAAACACAAGAATCTAAAGTTCTGAAGAAAATTTAAAGAAATGTACAGTGAAAGCATAAGGCTAGCTACTTATATATACCATATGCCAATCACTGAAACCAAAAGCTTTAGGGAAATTAAGGAGTCTATTTATGGTGTTTTTCAGAACTTCAAAATTTAGAAAATCCATAGCTATTGAAAACTCACAATAAGTAATCACAAAAACTCCCAAAACCCCTTTAGCTTAAATAAAACTCACAAATAGCCCATACCTACAATTCCCTCTGTAAAGGAAATTCTAGGAAAAATATTCCTGTGCACTTTCAAAGACAACCAAATACAGACAGGTGGTTCTTATAATTTACAACTATCCAAAAGAGATACTGAGTCCTTATCTACTGAGCTTTGTTCCCAAAGAGAAAAGCCAACATTACTGGAGTTTGTCAGAATAAAATGTTCTACTGTCCTCTCAGACTTCCATAGAACAAAAAACAGGCTGTACTGAAATTATTAATTGTGATACTTGTAAAAATGATACAATCAATGATATTCCAAATCTTTATATAATGATACAAAACAGATAATTGCTTTTATTTTTTTGTACCAGGGATCGAACTTGGGACCTTGTGTTCACAAGGCAGGCAATGGAACCACTGAGCTAAATCCTTAGCCCTGATGATGGCTCTTTTTATCAAACCCTTTCAACAAACTAAAATTTAAAGTTGGCTGGGTTAAAATACTTTAAAATCCATAGCCACTAAATCATCACTCCAAAAAATTCTCAAGCATATCCTAGACATAGATAATAAAGCCAATAATGCCAAAAGTCTGATGGAATGAATACGTCAAGTAGGGAGATTGGTTAACCAAAGGGGAAAAATAAAGGAATCACCAAGGAAAAATAACACAAGAACGGCCATCGCTCAAGCGCTGGGAGGTAGCCTGGGCCCCGATCCACTGCAGGAAGGAGAGCCACGCCTGCTCCGGACCCAGCCACCATCGCTCCAGGGCCAGGAAGGTAGCCCCCACAACACTCTCAGACCTCCTGACCGTTCCAGTCTTTGGACCCACTCTGCAGAGGCAGAGGTGGTCATCAAGGGTATTTTTCTGAGTTCCCAACTTTGAACATCTTTAAAGAAAGGGCATGTGAAACCTGTAATAGAACGTTGCGGAGTTCAACTATTCAGAAGGATGGGGAACTCAATCTGGGCCTTGCAGCCCGAGGTCAGTCAGCGTCAGGGGGTTCAGCCATCAGCTAACTGAGATCAGGGGTCTTGCATCCTCGCTCTGTCTGAGCCATTAAATGGTAAATACACTATATTGAAATTTTGTTCACTGCAGGCATGTTCTGGACTGCTTCTTGATTTCAATTTAATTCAAATGATTTAAGGGTGATAGACTAGTGACTACCACAGGTGGTCAGTGTCCAAGTTGTGCTTGATCTTAATGTGTTGCTGATTGTATCAGTTGGGGTAAAGCATTGCCGTTGATTTGATGAGCTGTTTTCTCTGATGTTATGAAGATGAGAATGTCTGTGGGTCGTTAGAGACACAGAAGCTAGGGCGCAACTATATCAGGAAGATTTGGGTGATAATCCAGAGATTAAACCAAGGACAGTCCGACAACAAAAATTATAACACTTAAGCAAGACACAAGGACAGACTTTCAGTTCACCAATGGCAAAGAGTAGGGCAAATGAGGATGAAAAGACTGATAGTGAACCACCAGGACACCCTGAACTCAAAGCACAGGAAATAACAAAACAGATCAATCAGGCTCTAGAAAAATTCAAAACAGAAATAATTTCCCAGATAACCACAGAGATAGTGAGCAAAATGGAAGTCGTGATTCAAGACTCTAGAGCAGAAACTGACAAAAAAAAAGATGAGCTCAGGACCACGATAGAAGCCATGAAGGCCCAGCATAAGAAAGAAATGGAATCCATAAAACAGATTCAAACAGATATCCAGGAGATTAAACACTCCATAGAAAGTGTACGCAATAGAATAAAAGAATACGAAGGCAAACTCTCAGATATAGAAGATAAGATTGCAGTCAGTGACCATGAAAAGAGAGGTCTCTTAAAAGCGGTAAGAGATCATGAGAAATTGATCCAACAATTCCTAGATGATGCAAAGAAGAATAACATAAGACTGATAGGAATACATGAAGTAGCAGGAGAAAATACAAACTACTTTAAAAAGCTGTTCACAGAATTAATGACAGAAAACTTCCCAAATGGAGGGGAAGAATTTGACATTCAGATAACTGAGGTATATAGGACCCCAACTAGCTACAATCAAGAAAAATCTACACCTAGACATATAATAATCAAGATCCCAGAAACCCAACAGAAGAACAAAATACTACAAGCAGTAAGAGAAAAGAAACAAATCACATACAAAGGAAAGCCCATCAGAATCACAGCAGACTTTTCAACACAAACCCTTGGGGCAAGGAGAGCCTGGAATGAGATATTTCAAGTACTAAAAGAGAACAACCTCCAACCTAGACTGATGTATCCAGCAAAACTCTCTTTCAAAATGGATGGGGAAATAAGACACTTCCACGACAAAGAACACCTGAGAAACTATATGAATACCAAAACAGCACTACAAGGTATTCTAAACAAGATCCTAGAAAAAGACAATGAAGGCAGCAACACCATGAGGCCCAACAGAGCATATCAAATAGGCAAGTCAAAAAATTAAAAAGAGAAGGTGAAAAAGTAAAAAGAGTCAACAAAAGGCCAATAACATGTCAATAGTAAGTCAGTGCATATCAGTTATAACCAGCAATGTCAATGGCCTCAACTCACCAATCAAAAGAAATAGACTGGCAGAAAGGAATAAGAAGCAAAATCCAATAATATGTTGTATACAAGAAACACACCTAGTGCAAAAAGAAGCCCATAGTATGAAAGTGAAAAGATAGAAAACAATTTTCCATGTGACAGGAGCCCAGAAAAAAACAGGG